GCGGAGCCGCGGAGCCGCGGAGCCGCGGGCAGGAACCCCGGGAGCAGGAGGAGGCGGCGGCGGCGGATCCCAGAGGGCGATGTGGCCGGCCGGCGCGGGCACCAAGCTGCCCTGTCCCCGGGACTCTGCACTCCGGCGGGCGGCTTTCTCCGGAAATCTCACGGCCCTGCCTTCTCACCTGGTGCCCGCCGGGCGCAGCGTGCGGGTCTTCATCAGCGCCAACCCTGAAGGTAGGTCCCTCGCTCGGACTGACCGGGACGTTCTTCTGTCGGCGCGCGCCTCGGGAGCCGGGGAGCGCCCGCCGCACCAGGCGCCCTGCGCTGCTTCTGCAGCTGAAGCTGTGGCAGCCCCGGGCGCGTGGAATTCAGTTGGAATCACTTTTATTCTCCCCTCACTGGCCCGCTATGCCTGCTAACTTCTCCTAGGCTCCCGCTCTCCACCCAGGGTTACTCCCGGGTGGAGCTAAGAAACATCCAGGGCATTTTAGCCGGTGCTTCTGGAAAGCTCCTTTTGCCGCCACCACCCTCTTTCCCCTTCTTTTAGCGGTTTCTTCTCCGAGGTTATCGCAAAGGCGAGCAGCAGCTCCTCTCGCTCTCAGCCCCGCCACGGGTTCCCCAAGGAGGGCTCCCCTCCCTGCCACTTGTTCCGGGCTAGGTGAGCAGGGAATTCCTTGAGACGCGCCTCTTGGGGGTGCGGTGGCGCCCGTTGCCTTCGGGGGCCAAGGCTCGCGGAGGTCGAGGGGACACGCGCCGCGAGGTCTGGAGCCAGGTGCGCGGTGGCGCGCCCGGGCTGAGCCCACCTCCTCGGCTGGGGTCCCGGGGCTTGACCTCCCGGGAGTGGAACTTGGTCGGCTTGGTGGTATTTCTGCTCAAGACCGGATACCCGGTTGGGCACTCGGTGAAAACTTGTTGATTATGGCGGCTGAGCGCCGGGTGGTTACAGCCTCGCTCTTCGCTACCTTTCAATTCTCAGTCCGGAACGTTAGATTTCATTCCCAGTAGGTGGGGTGGGATGGGGGGGAGGATGTATTTGACCGGGTCTGGATAAAACTGCAGGAATTGCTCTTTTCGGGGAGGAGGGGGTCGGAATGTTGGGCTGTAAGATGACTTTAGAGGCGACTGAAATAGACTTGAGAGATTTAAGTAACATTTTCTGCTTCTAACAAGCCTTGGGTCTGATTTTTATAACGTGAAAGAAAAAAGAAAGTCTACGTTCAAACCATCATTGGATTGAATCCTTATGTGAAAACCTAAGGTGCTGGTTTCTCGTGAAAAGCATTCAGAGGGGATCCAACAAAAGCAATTTTTAAGAAAATGATCGTTTCCCCCAAAAATTCACTAACAGAAGTTTTAGGTAAAGCTCACGTTATGGCAGAGGAATCGGGGAACAAATCAGATGGGTAACCGGCAGTGATTAGTATTAGAAGGTCTAATACTTTTCAGACAGGGCATGGGTGTCCTTTGATCAGTTTACAGCTCGCTTTCACAGAACTTGACTAAGGAAGCTTTTAGGAAGACACAATACACCATTAAAAATCATTCTATCGCAAATGGCTTCCATGATTTTTACCTAAATCTGGATGGAAAAAAAAAACGTGGAAATAGGCAGCCTATTTAAGGAAATCTGAAAATTAGGTTTTCAGTGTTTTTTTTATATTGCTAGGACATTTTTACAGTGTTTGAGAGAGTTATGTTAGAAAATGTGCAGTTAGTCTTGAAATTTTTAATTCACTTGAGCTTAAAAAAATTCTCATGAGAAAAGTGTCTAAATCTACTGATGTGAAGATGCTGGATCACGCTTTTCCTTTCAACAAGCTGCTTCTAAAATACAATAAAAATTCTGTTAATATTATGATTAGTTAATTTTTTCATGCTTCAAATTTACAATTTCTAGGATAAAAAATTATAATGAACTTATATTGAGTTAGCTTAATATTTAACTAACAGTCAAATTAATGTCATTGTTCTTCAGCCTGTCCATACAATTCTTCAAATTCCCTCATTTCTTCACTTTCTTCAAAACTGTAGCATATATTAATCCCAGGAAAGCAAACGAGCGAGGGGCCAATCATGCCTCTTGGTCACTGTTAGAACTGGACAGCTTCCACAATGATCTAAAATAATAATGATAATAAATAAATGAAAGAAGTGTGAGGCTTACCTGGGGAATTTCCAATAGGGGAAGGTCCTCAGATTGTCTCCAAATTAGTGAACCAATGGCATATGGAATAAAAAAGAAAACAGAGGTGGACGTTTTTAATGATCTGAACATGAAGCCTTAAAATCTTGATAAATGGTCTGTTACAGGCAGCACTTGACCATGGGATCTCTGCGGATGCAATTTAGAAAGCAAATGGTTGTGTTTTGGTATGATCCAATATTAGATTCTTGGCCAATACTAAAGAACCTCTCCACTGTCAAATTAAGTCAAAGAACATTATCTCATGCTTTCCTTTCCAAGCGGAAATCCAATTTATGTTCTAAATAAAAGCTGCTTTGTGTTGAACTCATAACAATACTTTGAGAACCCGGCAAGACTCTTGCTTAGATTATTGTTTTAATAGGTATGGCTTTCCAGGGCTTGTATAGAATTTCTCCATCAGTCCTGAAGAGAATGCTTGTCTTTAGAATGGAAACATTACTTTCCCGTATATTAACTTGGTAAATATTTTGATTTGGTTTCCTATCCTCAGACAACCCTCTATGCGTAATAGACTGAAGTGAGGGGGGTGTTCTACCTATTCTACAGATGAGAACACTGAGGCTGTATGGAGTTAAGCTTCTTGCCTGAATTCATACAGTAGAGTAAAGCGGGGTGGAGCCTGTAGGATTTTCAGAACACCTCTCTTAGTATTCTTTGGCCAGCCCACGCTGCTGCCAGAGCTCTGTGAAATATCTTACACCCACATGGGCAATTGAATAAGCTGGAAATGGCGGAGAAGTGCTTCCAGCATCTCTTGGTTGTTAGGCTTCAAGAGTATGAACAGCTGGAAGGGAATGTGGCTACACTGACCCACTTTGCTCCCCCGAGAGGTGACCCTAGGGCGTTCAAGGAAGTTTTGAAATGTGCTGAACTCTAATGGACAGATTCCTGTCCGAAAGCATATCTGCCCCTAACTATTCCCCCACATGGAAGGCTCTGGAGAAGCACCCAGCTGGGGGAGGCAGTAGCACTCTCCCAGATTCTCCTAAATGGATGTGCCTTGGACGTCATCTAGTCCCACCTCCCACTCAATATGGAAATCCCATCTGTAGTGTCTTTATCAATCCTTGGAAGGTTTCTCGTCATTTAGCCACTGTCTTTTTGCCAGAACAGCACTTATACCTCCTTGGAAAAATGATTTTAAAACACATAAATCCTCTGCTTTGATTAGTCTAAATAGCCCATGCATAGGGAGAGGAAAGGAACTACATGCCTCCGTCCCTGTCATTGGAGTTTAAGAACCCTCCTCCCCCTCTCCTGCCTTGATTCTTTATCAATTTTAGAGTAAGATAAAGTCTTAACAAACAAGGAAGACTAAACTGTCACCTTTATTACTGATTCAAAACTATTATGGGTCCACAGTCCCTTGTCTATGATCATCTGGACCAGATGATATTTTGGAATTCTTTTTAAGATTTGGCAGAAAATTCTTGTATGCTGTTATATATGTAGGGCCAGGGGCAACACCCCATATCAAGTATGAACATGACTATAAGGAAACACAACTTCACTCTAAGTCAGTGTTGTACAAAACTTTCTGTAATGCTGGAAGTGTCTATCTCATATGGTAGCACTAGTTATATATGGCTAGTGAGCATTTGAAATGTGGCTAATATGAATAAGAAGCTGAATTTTTAATTTTAATGCGTTTAAATTTAAAATAGGTACATATGACTGCCAGCTACTGCATCAGACAGCAAAGCTCCAAGCAGAGTAACAAAGATTGTTAAGTAGCTTTGTGTCAGCCAAGGTCAAATTTGGTCATCAGTCACTCAAGCCACTTCAGGCTTTGCTGCCAGATGGATTGGGGAGAATCTTTTATTTTCAGAGCTTTGGGGATTTTGGAACTTTGGTAAAAGCTACGGACTGTCATTGGAAAATATGGTTTTTAACTCCAGGCAAGTGTGTTTTCTAATACAGACCCCCAAATCGCGCAGACTTCCACTCTCAGTTCAGCAGTGGACAAGTTATAGATCATCCTTCTCAGCCCATAGACAGAATCAGTCCCTTTAAAGCTTAATACATGGAGGAGCAGAGAAGAATGACAGTTTTTCTTACAAGAAAGAAAGACGGGGCTGGACTATTGTGTTCAGATTTTCCTTCTCCCCTCCAGCCTTCAGGTTAAGATACTTCGCCCCTGAGGAGTAATGGGCAGCAGCTACTGTCAGGGCTACTGCACTACCACACCTCCCTCTGTGAGTAAAAAGATGCTTGGAGTGGAGACAAAGATATCTAAACACCCATCTTTATGCATTTTTCTGCCTCCTCAGATTTCTGCACTGGTCATGTTTGAGAGGTGTGAACTCTTGTCCACAGTGTTGACGTTCAGATGTTTAGACCATTACCCCTTTAGAGTTTTTTTGTCTGCATGACTTTGCATCTTCCTGGACTCTTCTCCATGCTCTGAGGTCTCAGTGGGAAAGCTCGTTCTCCATTATGATGGAAGTCACAGCAGGGAGACGTGTTTTCCCTTCATATGTGTACACGGGTTCATTTGCTGCAACCAGTGGTCATGTGTTTCAGCTTTTGTTCCTAGCAAGAAGTAGAAAGGTCTGCATTGAGAAATTCACATGAAACCTGTGGGTATTCTTCACCATTATTCTTCTTACCTTTCCTACCATTCTAATTATCTCCATGGCTCCCTATTTATGAGTAATGGGAAAAAATACATCACAAAACATATATACATGTATGTGTATGCATATAACACAGGCACACACATATCTGCACAGCCTTTTTGATACAATGGTTTTAAAAACTAAAAATCTTCAAAGAGAATATATTGCATTGCTATTTTATGATAAATGTAAATGGGACATTTATGATAAATGAGTACTACATTTTAGTGCTTGTATCTTCTAAATCCTTAAGCAAACATTATTCAGGCAGAAGAACGTCTTAGACACAAGGTAGACTTGGGAGCTAGGCTTTCTGGGTTTGAATCCTTAATCCACTCTTCAGTGCTGTGATTTCTTGAGCAATTTGCTCAACTTCTTTGTTCCTAATTTGTAGAAGAGTCAATAATAGA